TGATGGTTACGTAATGTACAATATGTGATGGTTACGTAATGTACAATATGTGATGGTTACGTAATGTACAATATGTGACGGTTACGTAATGTACAATATGTGGTGGTTACGTAATGTACAATATGTGGCGGTTACGTAATGTACAATATGTGGTGGTTACGTAATGTACAATATGTGATGCTTACGTAATGTACAATATGTGATGGTTACTTAATGTACAATATGTGTCGGTTACGTAATGTACAATATGTGGTAGTGACATAATATTATATGGCGGTTACGTAATGTACAATATATGGTGGGTATGTAATGTACAGTATATGGTGGGTATATGTAATGTGTTACATTACATAGGTCATTCAGGGAGTAACATGGACAGTCTAATATCAGATATCGGAGTCCGATAGTAAATCACAGAAAGTTGACTTCAGACTTGCATTAGTAATTTCTATCCCCCCTCAATTTTTACGTTCTGAGCTCGTATTTTCTATCAAGTTATATTTTCTATCTAATCTCATATTATCTCCTAAACAGAACGATGGTCCTTTTTTTTACTGATTTTTTTTCTTGCAGCTGTGAAAATCTTGTGTCGGCTGTCAGACATAGACCTGATTTCACACAAGAACAGTATTCTGAGAAAGCTGAACATAAAGGTCACACAGCGGCTTGGGCTGACGTTCCTGAAGCCGAAACAAGCCGCGTGGAGGTTTGTAGTTTCTCATGGCCCACTCTCCCTCTTGAATGTGCCTCCACATTATAGGCACAGGGGGTAGACATTTATTTTTGAACAAGGGAGTCCAACTGACTCTCTACCCTCAAAAAGAGGGAGTCCGCAACAAAATGAGGCAGTTCGCAGTCTGAAGTTCAAAACTAAAGATATTAACAATAACGCATGTGCTTATTTTGAAGATTCATGTGGTTGCATGTCTGCCAAATTTTCTTTGGACATTTGCTGAAAAAATATGGTAATTCTGCGAGGCCGTGTTCTGGAACGAACTTTAGTTAGTATAGCAGAATTTCAGGGAGTCACACGGACTCCAGCATATGTCCAATCAGAGAGTCTGACAGTAAATCAGTGAGTATTTGACTCCGGGCTCGCGTTAATTTCGCACCCTGCAGTCAGGACGATGCAAGTTAATGCCATTGTATGCCCTCTTATACCCTCATATATCTTTCGTTATCCTGCTTATGCCTCGTGCTGATTCCAACACAGTTTTCACATGCAGTGTTTAGTTTAGAACAGCAGAATGATGCTGCCCACGTTTTTACATCAATGCAAAATATGTGTATTCAATGCAGAATATGTGTATTCAATGCAGAATATGTGTATTCAATGCAGAATATGTGCATTCAATGCAAAATATGTGCATTCAATGCAGAATATGTGTATTCAATGCAGAATGTGTGTATTCAATGCAGAATGTGTGTGTTTAATGCATGTGTGTATTCAATGCATAATGTGTGTATTCAATGCAGAATGTGTGTGTTTAATGCATGTGTGTATTCAATGCATAATGTGTGTATTCAATGCAGAATG